ATCACAATGCTTGCACAGAGCCTGCTCTGAGTGCTCGTTGGGGAGCTTCATCAGCAAGACTATGCTGCCATTCTAACACTACAGAGCTAGAAGTGCAACCTTCCTAAGACCCTGAGCTTGTAGTCCTGCCTATACTTGGTTCCTGAGGGAGTGGTGTATATGCTGAAGTGCAAACCAGAAATTCTTCAATACATTACTGATTCCTTGGCCACAAAACCGTATAGCCTACTGAAAGGGGATTACATCATCAAGGGCCTGAAAACAGCACTGGGGCTGCAAAACCTCTTGTAGGTAACACACCTTCCAAACTTCTCCCTGAACTAGGGACTCTGGTTCACTACTATCATCTTTGATAACACAACAAGCAACAGAAAATACCTTCTGAAAAGAGATTTTTATACATAGATATTTTATTTAGTAAAAGCAAGACAAAGGTCTCCATGACATCTTTTACAACATTTTTCCACTCAGCACTTTGCATCAAGTCTTAAGATCATCAGTTTTGCCTTCTCATTGAAGGAGAACCACTAAAGCAGACCTTATTCTTCTGTAGCTTCCAGTTCCCTTTGTCACACAATGTTCCAGCTGGGACCTCAGGGCTGGCTACCACTCTTTTAAGCCCTGGCCTGCAAGACAGGTTTCTTGCAACTCAATAAGTTATTTTTTAAAAAGCTGTTGCAACAATTGGCATAAGTAATTCAGGGCCTCATCACCCTTTCATATTCTTGCTGACTTTTCTCTATTTCACTCAGCACCTCTTAAAACATCTATAAATGCAGGCCTCCACAAATGTAAGATAAGAGAGGGCACAAAACCATTTCAGAGTACAAACACGTACTTCATGTTGGCTGTGAACAGTGCAACTTACAGCTGGCATACATTCAGCAATGCAGACTTCAGTTACCTGTTGGCAAGTTTCCTAACAGTAAACACTAGAATAGCTTGACTAGGGAAGTCCGGGGTCTCCATCACAGGAAACTTTAAAGAACAGGTTAAAAACTAGACTGGGAATAGTTTAGATACAGAAGACATTGGCTCAGGGTAAAAAGGCATAGGAAAAGAAAAGGCGTTTCTAAATGTCTGACATTTGTCAGGTGGATAGTGTTTGCTATCCAGTCAGGAGGATTCTTTCTAGAGAGTCAGGCTCATGTAAACACTGAAACTGAGCAAATAAATGAGTATTTAATCAAAAAACTCCAGAAGAAAACCACAGGCACTGTGGAGCCCCCAGAGAGATGGGAGAAGAGGGAGAGCTGCCTGCACAGGGAACTACAAAGGGCACACATAGTCTAAAGGAGTATGGACAAGGTCAAATATCAAGTGATGCAAGGACTGTGAAGTTTTGGTAAACACTTTGGAAGATTATTATTGTAAGGGAA